TCGATATATAGACCTTAGAGAAAAGCATATCGACCGAGCACGAAGTGCGCGATCGATATGATTTCTCTAAGGTCTATATATCAAGGGATTGACCTCATCAAAAGGCTATAATTGTATAATATTATATCGAACTGTGTATTTCACGGATGATTAAAAACATTCTTTCAATGAAAATGTGTGTATAACACCGTGAAGAGTTGGGACACGATGGAAAAGACCCATAGAACCGGTACTTATCCTTGCCATCAGGGAAAAATGAAAGCCGACAGAGGAGTCAGTCCAGCAATATGCAAACAACGCTGGTTAGATAGGCCTACAAGGCAATATTATACCACTATGGTCAGGTTGGTTATATTAATTATGAACCTAGTAATCCATTTTTCAATAAAATGATTATTAAAAATAAAAGAGATATTTATTCCAGAAAAATAAATATAAATTTAAACTTAAATTTGAGAAAATGACAGTGATTTTACAAACATGTCACTGCATGTTAGTAGAAAAATTTACGTGGTCTGTTAGGAATCTATTTTAAAATTACATAGACTATAATTTTTGTAAATGAAAGGTGGGTCATTTAGACCCATTATTGGAAATCTTTGTAATTTAAATGAAGGCATTAATTTTTAAAGTATAAAATAGAATATTATATTATCTAAAAAATAAAAAGAATGTACAACTTTTGATGTCTATTTATAATGTTTATTTAATATTAAACTTTAGTCTTTATAGGAAATTTAGATAAAAACTGAATTCAAACATAATAATGTGTATATGCCTTAAATAAGTCATCTGTGAGTGTATTTGTGCTTTTACATAATGTGCAGTATTTATTACAATGACGACTTTTTGTCTTGTAGCAATATGCAAGAGCTGATCAGTGGAGCATATTCAGCATGAGAAGAATGTAAATTCTCCCTCTCACAATGTGCAGTTTGTGGAAGAACTTGGTAATTATTATATTTTGCTAAGTAATCATTAAATAGCAAGTGAATATTGCATAGGGACAAATGGAAGCATTTTTTAGATTCAAAGTGCATGGTCGTATGAAGCGGTGGGGGGGGGGGGTACTTATTTGGAAATAATTTTCCCACGGACCCAATATAAAGAATACTATAGAAAAATATGCTACCGTATATATTCGCCTATAAGTAAGATTTTGGGAGTTAACATGCATTCTCTGTAAGCACCAAAAAATCTTGGAAACGACATATCTCCGATTTTGATGAAATTTGCACCATAGGTGCACATTGGTACAAAACCAGCAAATATGGTGTTAGAAGTTTCCTACGTGCACCCGGTTGCCATGGAGACGGATCCATTGAATTTGGCCATTTTCGGCCATTTTGACCAAAAAAAAAACATGAAAATTGAGGAAATATGAATGCATTTTTATCTTTATGTAGTGAACTCAAATATAAATCTTTGTATCATAAGAAAACATCAACTGTTAAGGAATACAGGGCATATAACTAGTTATTCCAGAATTGACCCCACTCTTAGAAAACGGTTCTGCAATATAGCATAGTTTCTCAAAATGTGAAAAATGGAAAATTTGGCATTTTTTGAGAAATTTAAGGTTAAATAAAAAAAATTGTCTATGGAAATTTTTCAAATCATATGCGTGTCGTCAAACGTCAGTATTAGTAGTGTCCCCTCATGAAAAAATTGGAGTGGGATCTCAATGCTATTTTTAGTAACATGTATCTAAAAATAGACATATTTCAGAAAAATCCAAAAAATGAAATTTGGGCAGAGTTAAAGATGCCATTGCTAGGTAATTATGAAATATACTGTAAAAGTCAATATGCTAATGTCCGATACTGGACACCAATAACTACTATGCATATTATTTTCAGGGATTTCCGTTTTCTATTTATAGCTTCAAATGCCTGAATATAGACATGTCTCATAAAATGATGAAAAATGTCAATTTTCCATCATTTTGAAGCTCCACTGAATCATAAATAATAAAAATATGGATCTCTCCAATATTTCATCAATAAGGACAAGGAATAGTATAATATCTCACAAATTATTGAGGACAGGCTCTCATCTCTATAAATAGTACAAATGTCTAAAAATAGACACATAAGAAATTAACTGTTTAATGTTGATTTTCCACCAATTCTCAAATTAGAGATGGGAAATTTACCGACTTACTGTCATTAAATATAACTGATATTATGTGACTGACAAGAACAAAAGAACATTCAGTGGAATGCAGCATGATGAGCAGAGGTTTCCATTTCTATTTATAGTAACACATGTTTAAAAATAGAAGTAATGCGAAATATCCGGAAAATGTCGTTTTTTGTACTTTTTCTAAAATTTTGGATGAATAATTGCTGACTATCTGTTTTTAACTGCTATTGGCATGTGGTGACCAACAAGTAAAAGAAAGTTTTCAAATACAAAATGAGAAGCAGTGGTTTCCATTTCTATTAATAGTAACACATGTTTGAAAATAGACGTGATGCAAAATATCGGGAAAATGTCGTTTTTTGTACTTTTTTTCTCACATTTTGGATGAACAATTACAGACTATATGTTTTTAACTGCTATTGGAATATGGTGACCAAGAAGTAAAAGAAAGCATATACGAAATACAGAATGAGAAGCAGAGGTTTCCATTTCTATTTATAGTAACACATGTTTGAAAATAGACGTGATGCAAAATATCTGAAAAATGTCATTTTTTTGTATGCTTTTCTTACATTTTGGATGAATAATTGCTGACTGTCTGTTTTTAACTGCTATTGGCATATGGTGACCAACAAGTAAAAGAAAGCACTATATCAAAAACAGAATGAGAAGCAGAGGTTTCCATTTCTATTTATAGTAACATGTGTTTAAAAAAAGACGTACTGTAAACTGTCGGAAAAATGTCATTTTTGTATTTTTTTCTAAAATTTTGGATGCATAATTGCTGACTATCTGTTTTTAACTGCTATTGGCATATGGTGACCAACAAGTAAAAGAAAGCCTTATATCAAATACAGAATGAGAAGCAGAGGTTTCCATTTCTATTTATAGTAACATGAGTATAAAAATAGACATACTGTAAATTATCAGGAAAATGTAATTTTTTTTCTCACATTTTAGATGAGCAATTGCAGACAATATGTTTTTTACTGCTATTGGCATTCAGTGACGAACAAGTGAAAGAAAGCATATATGAAATACAGAATGAGAAGCAGAGGTTTCTGTTTCTATTTATAGTAACACATGTTTGAAAATAGACATGCTGCAAATTCTCGAGAAAATTTAGACTTTCGCACTTTTTTCCTAACATCAGGGATGGTCAAAGTGCAGACAAACGGCTTTCATTTGTTATTGACAGAATATGACTAACGCGTATGAAAAAGCTTTAGCTAAAGTGAATAAGAATAATGTTTAAGGTTATTTTTACATTTCTGCCTATAAAAACACATATTGTGTGTATTTATAAATAATCAGGAAAATAAAGAATCGTTCCTTTTTCTCAAATTAGGGATATGGAATTTGCGATCAAACTTTCATTAGCTGTAACTGACATGGCTAATTTTTTTCGGCGCGTCAACGCGTCCACCTCAATCCAATACATGTATCACAAAAGTATGTTTTCCCTGCATTAAAACACTCAAATGACAGCGATTTTCTTAATGAATTAAGCATTATCAATTATATTCAGGTCGACAGCCCGAGCCCGATTGAATTTTTTTTGTTAGGTGCATCCAGAAATTTTTCCTAGGAGGCGATGGCTCAAATCACTATGTCAGTTTAAACTAGAACTGTCCAAACGGGACTAAATACCCCGCTGGGTTTTTCAGAGGTGTTAAGGTAGAGATTGATAGCTTGTCAACAAAAAAACTACCCATTGAATTTTTCTGAATTTTTAATATGTTTGTGTCGAGTCCTTGTTCTAAATCATATCAAAAATTCAAGGTAGGTCATCGGGCTATTTTTAGAGAAATTTGACAATTTTAATATAGCCTTCAACAATCACCGAAGAGCTGAAAAAGCAGGGTAAAATAAAATAAGAATATGATATGAAAAAGGCTGTATTTTTTTTATTGCTATATCAATTATCATTTGTCTTATATGAATTCAAACATCTGTCTATATGGATTAATATTTGACATCAATCTTGAATTTATCAAGCATTGTAAGCAAAAAAGAGAATTACATTTACCAAGATGCATGGTCAAATTAGGTTAAAATATTGCCTATTCATTGCACAAAGTCTTCCACTTCTGCTTCCACTGTGAAAAAATTACCCATCAAATTTCTTTTTTTATTGCATATTAAAGTTAGTCTATATGTGTATTAAATTTCAGAAAAAAATCATACTACATAATGGGGTTTAAATTCATCCTGGAACAAGTTTACTATCTGACACCTTACCCTACCCCCTTCCTTTAGAAGGATGCATTTTTGAAGAATATGGTGACTAAGAGAGATTATCGAGAATTTATCAAAATATTTCACAGAAAATGAGTAAAATCTTTGTAATATTCTTTTAAATTACATTTTATATCACAAAAACAATTTATACTTGTACACCTAGACACATGTTGCCTTGGTTGACCTTTTTGCACTTACATTGAAAAAGATAAGAACTTTCCCTTATATCATTCAATTTGACTTTGATAGATAGCATTAATCAAAATATTTCAAAGGAAATAGGTTAATTCTTTGTAATATTCTTCTAAATTACATTTTATATAAAAAAACAATTTATACATGTACACCTAGACACATGTTGCCTTGGTTGACCTTTTTGCACTTGCATAGAAAAAGATAAGAACTTTTCTTTATATCGTTCAAATTGACTCTGTAGATTTATTATACATATTGTTCTTGGATGAATTATCTATGACAATATCTTTTGACCAATTCTGTAAATAAATAAACAAGTCTTATTATCTTCCTTTGCAACAATAGAATTAAATTCACTTTTCTTTTAATAATTCCTTTTTTATTCCAAATACATTGTACAACATGAATAAAAAAAAACTCAGTGATTATGAAGTTTTGTATGCAGAATCAATCCATGGCATGTTATCTTTGTTTTAAAAATATTTAGATAACAATGTGTTATGCATTACACTGTAAAATGAAGACTGCCTGGTCATCAGTTGTTAGATATCAATACACTGGAGCATCACATGGTAAAAAGTGTGGGAAAATGGAGAGTGATTCGGTTTTCATTTCATACTTACAAAAATACTGTAATAATTTACTAAGAAAACATACAATGTATCAGAGGTAATAATTTGTAACTTTAAAGTAAAGATTTTGCACACAGATTCATAAAAGTTAGAGGAATCCCACCATAAACTGTATATGATACTGTACAATTTTTAAACTCATGATGTAGTTCAACAAAATATAGTGAATACATTCAATACATGTATGGTAATAGGATAAACTTGCTATTTTGCTTTTTTTCTAATTGGCTAACAAAGATCAATGTGAACATGAATGCATTTTTTAATTGCCATTGTATGCAGTCAGTTTTGTCATGTTCAAGAATCCTGACAATTCCTTTGTTTTTATGTCAATACAACAAAGGTGTTCTTTGACAAGGATCTGCAGTGAGCAAAATTCATTCTGTATATTCAGATATTGAAGCATGTCTTATGGTGTGATATGTCCGTTCCCCTTTACTGTCTCCTTCTGGTAGTTCTTTTTTCTGAAAAGAACAAAATATTTTAAAACAAAAAGAACGAAAACACATGTTTTACTTCTTTCTTACACTGCAAACATAGTATGACTATGTCTATATGAATGTAAGACACTTCTGAGATACCTTTTTATATAATGTCATGATTTTTTTAATAAATGCATATAAAGTTGGCCTCATTAATCTGGGCACTTTTGCTTCCAAGGAAATTACTTGGATTAATGAATTGTCTTAATTAAACAAACTTGGTATATAAGGATAAAGCTAAAATATTTTAGTTTCTAAATGTAGGCCACACTCTAAGGCCAAGATCATGGGGTTAAAGAAAAAGAAATAAACTCAGCAATAACTGTTCAAGAGTTAATACCAAAGGATAAAGTTTTTGTGGAAATAAAAAACTCCATGTACCTGTCAGTGACACACCAATTCATATACAACTTTAACAACATAACTATTATATGTAGAATTAAAATACTTTTCTTTTTACATCTTATTCCATTTTTTAAATTCAGTTTTGTCCCTAATTACCTTATTGATATAAATCCAATATTCTTTTGTAACACTGCAGATGACACTTGATTAGTAAAGGATCCTATATTTCCGTGGGATCTGTAACATGATTAAAATAAAATAAAAATAAAATAGATAGCTTGATCTAATTTTTTTATAAATTATTAATAATTTTGATTTTAATTGCAAATTTAGCTATGATAACGTGAAGAAGTCAGTATTGTTAAAAAACCATGTCACTTATAAGTTTTTTAACAATACTGACTTCTTCACATTATCATATCAATTCTTTGGTGTTTCATTCGAAACAATTTCAGTCAAGTAGAAAACATATTTACATTTTACAATTGTTTTGGTTATTCAGTTTTGAATTCAATTTACAATATGTCTTTTTATAAGTTTATACACAAGCATTTTACCATACATGTATTTAAGTCAATAGAGCACCTAACTAGTGATACAGGGATCTTCCGTTAGATTCTCAGTCCAGACATAAATATTCCTCGTTATGCCACTTTATGTTTGAGTTTGCTGTAGCAGATTTTGCTTGAAGTTTCCTGAAATATTAATATAATCTTTTAGAAATTATTGACTCGAAAAAATGCTTCTACATGTATACAATAATACTGTATGTACATTATGGTGTGTAAATAAAAAATACAAGAATTAAAAATCATTATAAATTATAAATCTAAAATACATGCATTAATTATAAAACCCCTACTTTTCACCACCCCCTTGGAAAAAAATTCTGTATTTTCCCTGATACATGTGCAAGTGTAAATTGAAAGGAAAAAATACAAACCAATGGCTATCTTGGAGTTAATGTTAATCACCCTTGACATTCCTCTTTCCAGGTGACACTTGATTTGGTCACATTACTTCAGCAGAGAAAGCTGAATACACTGTCTAGTCCATAGCTTGCTTCACCTGTAACATTAAATATTTCTTTTACAATCTATGAATATGATATCTGTCTATAATCAAGGCCCTTTTGAGCTTACAACAAATACATACCTGTACATAAATTTATAACAATACATGTACATGTACATTTATAAGTTATATTTAGAGCCCTTTTGAGATACAGGGCGGGGCTTGAGGCGAGAGCGATAAGCCGGGCCCCGCCCTGTATCTCTGATACATAAATTTATAACTAAATGACTTGTGACATGACCTTTTTAATGACCTCATCAATTTACATTCATATTTGGGTACATATCTCTTAACCAATCAGATGATTTTAACAGAAAGTTGATTTAGTATCCCATTTTAAGCATTCGCAACTGAAATGCCGATAGAGGTGGACGTGCAGGTATTTATCATTTTAAAATAATTATTTAGGTGATGCATTATATAATTTGTTTTCCAAAAAAATAAATTTGAATTTGATTGCTTAGGTTTTTTTTCTCTTTTTAGCTGTTGTCGACTTCGTTTTTTTTTTAAATTTAAGCTACGATTTAATGCAAAACATTTTAATATTTTAAGAATCATGTGGGGATGTTTTTGAAACAAAAATACTTCCGGGAAAACGTATTCTGAAAAAAATGTCCGACGATGTCCTACACCTGTCGTAATATAAAAAATTTAAATAAACAGATGAAATGAAAGCGGGGGGGGGGTATTTTACCTTCATGTTTTTAATAAAATGTAGAGTAACCAAAGGGTATCCCATCACTCACTGGTGCCCCCACTCAACCCTCTTGTGAGTTTTTTTTCTTTTTCGCTTTCGTAAATGATTTAATATTTTGCTAAACTTGTATACATACGCTTTTTAATTTATCAACAAGAAACGATAGCACCACAAAGTTTCTTGGTTGGCTATAAATCTACCCCCTCCCCTCCCCGAGTGTAATATACGAGTTTTCACTTATTTTTATCGAGGGGGGGATAGTAATCATTTGTGAACTGTCCCACTCCCTCCTTTCTAAAATTTTTGAATTCCACACTAATAACTTTACGTTGTAAAATTTAATTCTTAATTCACCTCAAATTTTGAGTAAATACTAAGTGTTTTCATGGGAATTGAACGATTCTTGTGTCTATACACAGATTCAGCTTTCCCTCATCGCTAAAAATAAACCGTACTGTATCGTTGATATTTTGCAGATACAGTACAGTTTCTGCTCATTTGCATAAGAAACGCCCACCAAAAGTGTTCTGTATCGCAGTTACAGTATGCTTGACTTCAAAGGAAAACTCGCCGGGTCATGTCACAAACATTACATAAGGCAAACAAAAAATAGTCTTGTTTCCTGCTACTTAACTGACCCTATTTTTTTTTTATTTTGGCACTTGATCATAAAGTTGTTTATTTTTTTTTTCAATGCAACGTTTTGTAGTTTGCTTTTTAGTTCAAAAAGACAAAAGATTTGCAAATAAATGTCCACTATCATTTATAAAAGGGGTTATAACCTGTAATCCAAAGCAGAGATGGTTTACATATTTCTGCATTTGAACAATTTAAGCAAATTATGTTTTTCCATTTTTTGAGTATTCAACTAAACACCACCTTGTGTGTTAGGCACAGATAAGTATGATACCTTTACATTTTTGCTAATTTTACCAATCCGGCCTTTATCATGTTCTGACACCAGAAATGTCTGGTTTTGCTCTTCTATTCTAAAAGTTACAGACTGGTCATATAATAAGTTTTAATTTTAAGCTAAATAAAACAGCATTAGGAAAGTATAAAAATCTAAGTAGGTTATTGGTAATTGGAGCTAAATATATTAGTTGTACCAGACAGGTGCGTAAACAATCAAACACTTTAGCCATGATCGATATACTAAGTCGTAAATATTCACCTTATGTATCTGACATGGACACAGCAAACAAAAAATCTGTTCTGCAAAAATTTTACTTCTTCCGTCATACTAATTAACATCTGTAGGGTCATAGTCTTTAATGTCTTTATTGAAATCAACATCTGGCACAGATCGATACCGGTGTACCCACGTGGTGCTGCAGTGGACACTGGACAAGGAGTAGTTTCACCAAAATTATGGTCATGGTCGGTTTCAGTCTCACTTCTATTTTTGATTCTCATGAAGATGTTTCAATTTCGAGAACCGTAAAGGTTTAATATGTATGTCAAATTTGTCTTTTAAATCGAGGAAATTTCTCGATTGCTTCGTCGGCCATCTTGTAGCAGGGACAACAATGTGTAAATGGAGACTTTTATTTGACGGCGTTGCGGAATTCCGGAAAAACAGCACGTGCAAATATGCGAATTCTTTCTATCACGTGATTGCTATCGGTCTCTACCTTAAATCATGAATATTTAATGGATCTAAGAGAAAAGTGATATGCTAAAACATTTTTAATGCAAATGTAATTTCTTATAATATTTTCATTAATGAAACGAAGGCTCATCCTTACAATAAAAAACAGACTAAATATACGGACCAGACACGAATAATGAACTTTTTCTGTCAGTGACCTTGGCTTTGCATTAATGACCTTGGATCAAAGTCATAACAGAAAATCAGATAATAAGCAAGGTTTGTGTGAAGTAGTGGATTGAGGTTTAGCCATAAAAAAGATATGGACCAGACACAAATAATGAAACTTTTTCTTCAAGTGGCTTTGAACTTCCCCAAATGATTTTGCGTCAAGGTCATGACATACTCTTAGGAACTGTGCAATCTTTGTGTGAAATAAGAACCTACCAAGTTCATCCATAAGAAAGAAATGGAGCGGACACGAATTATGAAATTTTTCTTCAATGACCTTGAACTTCCCAAAATGACCTTGGTTCAAGGTCATGACACACCCTTAAGTCATGGGCAGTCTTTGTGTTAAATGAGAACATACCAAGTTTATCCATAAGAAAGATCTGGACTGGACACGAATTATGAAATTTTTTTAGTGACCTTCAACTTCCCTAAAGGACCTTGGCTCAAGGTCATGACACAATCTTAGATCATGGGTAATCTTTGTGTGAAATAAGAACATACCAAGTTAATCCATAAAAAAGATATGGACCGGACACAAATTATGAAATATTTCTTCCAGTGACCTTGAACTTCCACAAATGTCCTTGGCCCAAGGTCATGACAGGACGCACTCTTATTGCATGGGCAGTCTTTGTGTGAAATGAAAACCTACCAAGTTTGAGAATTGGTGGAAAATCAACATTAAACAGTTAATTTCATATGTGTCTATTTTTAGACATTTGTACTACTTATAGAGATGAGAGCCTGTTCTCAATAATTTGTGAGATATTATACTATTCCTTGTTCTTATTGATGAAATATTGGAGAGATCCATATTTTTATTATTTATGATTCAGTGGAGCTTCAAAATGATGGAAAAATTGACATTTTTCATCATTTTATGAGACATGTCTATATTCAGGCATTTGAAGCTATAAATAGAAAACGAAAATCCCTGAAAATAATATGCATAGTAGTTATTGGTGTCCAGTCTCGGATATTAGCATAATGACTTTTACAGTATATTTCATAATTACCTAGCAATGGCATCTTTAACTCTGCCCAAATTTCATTTTTTGGATTTTTTTGAAATATGTCTATTTTTAGATACATGTTACTAAAAATAGCATTGAGATCCCACTCCAATTTCTTCATGAGGGGACACTACTAATACTGACGTTTGACGACACGCATATGATTTGAAAAATTTCCGTAGACAATTTTTTTTATTTAACCTTAAATTTCTCAAAAAATGCCAAATTTTCCATTTTTCACATTTTGAGAAACTATGCTCTTTTGCAGAACCGTTTTCTAAGAGTGGGGTCAATTCTGGAATAACTGGTTATATGCCCTGTATTCTTTAACAGTTGATGTTTTCTTATGATACAAAGATTTATATTTGAGTTCACTACATAAAGATAAAAATGCATTCATATTTCCTCAATTTTCATGTTTTTGTTTGGTCAAAATGGCCGAAAATGGCCAAATTCAATGGATCCGTCTCCATGGCAACCGGGTGCACGTGGGAAACTTCTAACACCATATTTGCTGGTTTTGTACCAATGTGCACCTATGGTGCAAATTTCATCAAAATCGGAGATATGTCGTTTCCAAGCCCTATAGTAAATTTTTTGGTGCTTACAGAGAATGCATGTTAAGCTTTGATCCAAAACTCTATGTCTGACTTATAGGCGAGTTATAAAATGATTGGTTTTTAAGATATTCAATTTCTCTAATATAAGCTTAAAAATACAACCGACTTATACGCGGACCGACTTATAGGCGAGCATATATGGTACTATATATACTTTTGACCTATAAATAAAAATGTCTGATGAGGTTTTTTTCTGCTTTTCAAGAAATATTTGATAATTGTCTGTTTATTACCCCCCCCCCCCCCCCCCCCACTTGATAAAAAAAACTGAAAATATTTGGCCATGCCCCTCCACCCCAGAAAATGAAATTGCATCCTTCAGTCCTGAAAAAAATAAGTACACCTTTAGAAGATCACATTATTTTACTTTCAGAATAATGTGAACAAATAGATCAAGACTTTGTACGATATCTGATTGCATAAAAAATAGAATGTAAAGATTTTATTAACTTTTTTCTATCAATATACTGTATTCATATGTTTATTTTTACAATTCATATCATTTCAATAAATTTAGGTGTTCCAAATTCACAAAACACTTCAACAGAGAGTTTAACTACAGAGATGGAGTTTGACACATCCTGTAAGTATTTGCTACTGTCAGAAATCACTTACATGTAAGCTTGAGCTTATTGAGTATATACTTAGTATTCTTTTAATAAACTATATTACCATTAATGAGCCCCTCCCCCCCTCCTCTGTGGGCACCCTATAGTGATCAGTCTGTCCATTCCAGATCTCTTGTCTGAAACATATCTTCTGTCACCTTGACCCACTCTCGCTCATACTTCACTCACAAAGTACCTTTGGGTAAAGGGTGTGCAGTGACCTTGAACAATTTTTCTAAATGTAAGGTCAAGGTAATAGCAGAATTGTATGAAAAATCCTTGTTCAGAGCATATTTTGCTCTCCTTGACCAAATCTGGCTCATACCTAACCCATGGTGTCTTTCTAGAAAGTGTGTGCAATGACCTTAAACCACATTTCTCATTCTAAGGTCAAAGTTATAGCAGAATTATATGAAAAATTCTTGTCCGGTGCACATCTATTCTCCCCTAAATCCAATGTGACCCATACATCATTCAAATATTTTGTTCAAATCATGACCTAAAGGAGTAGTATGGTGTTACATCTTAAAATTTTGATAAGAATATTAAAGCAACAAGTTGCTGTCCTTTAAAAAAGGACTACAATACGTAAACCACATGCATGTGTTTCTAACCGAAATTCAAATCAAAACAATTTCTAGGTTTAGTAAATATTCATGTAGGTTTGTTCTAATTTTCTATTATGATCTGCCTACCTTGAGTGATGGTACTTTCATAGCAAAATTTTTACATGTTATCTCGGATATAGTTTTCTCATTAAAAAAAATTGGGCTATATTGATACATGTTACCCATAGTGGCTGGGGCTTTACATCTGCTCTGAATTTATTCGGAAGAATCTATAATTGAAAAAAAATATCTGACGTTCCACATGTAACACAGCTCTAGCTGTAGTATGCAGTTTTTTTTTCAGGCCCCCCCCCTTCACATGTTTTATCCACATGGAAAACCGTTGCTATAGGCCTGTATCAAGCTAAATTTGGATTACTGTGCATATGTACATGTATATCAAATTATTTTTGCGAGTATTGGTGCACAAAACAAATGCCGGTGAAGACAAGTTTTTTCTTAAATTTTAAAATGCTTCTGCTGTAGAATCAATGTTTAATTTGTATATAAAAGTATATGTACAAGAAAGAAATTCGGATGCGCCAGTAAATAAATAAACACGATATGCACATCTAAAAGCCACATTTGCAAAATGAACATGGTATATTTTAATTAAGATAGGGCGATTTATTCTACGGGAAACTGTTTTAGGCGAACTCTCCCAATCGTTAATTCTAGGGCCTTTTCGACTGGCGGAAATTATTTTTCCGACCTCTGACGGAAAGACCCGAGATGATGCGATTGCGAACTCTCCAGCACTCTCGTGCATGCGTAGTTTGACTTATGCCCATGGCATCCGGTTTAACCTCGCTTATATATTTATTGTGTGGACCTCAGGGTCCACGCAATGATAAAACTTATGACTTTGAAAGCATCCTTTGTAGCTATTACAAATTTTGTCTAATGTGCTTCTAGTTGGCTAGATAGTGAACCATTAATTATTTTTCCTTCCACCTACAGGTTCCTGTGTCTCATGCTTACCTTCTTCTCAGGGCTGATATAAACAGAACGAAACACTAAAAGGAAAACCAAATGATGCTTTGCAGAGAATTTCAAATCAGAGATATATATTTATAATTGTGTTAGCAAATGTAACCATCAGAAGTTCCCATAGTTTTAATGCCTAGCTTGCCTTAATATATTCGAAAAAAAGTTTTAAAAAATGTTTCCATGGCAATATTTACATAATTTTTCTCTTTTTTTGTACACTAATGTTTATTTGTAAACCAGTGTGTATTATTATGTCTGTAACTGAAAAAAATAAATGTATTAATGTTTTTACATTTTGCATTTTTGTTAAAAATATTTATTATATGAAAAATAAAACTTTTCCCTGTAAAACCTTAATTTTTGCAAAAAGTCAAAATATAGCATTGTTCGTGACCTCATATCTACCCTACTTGAAAGAGTCCAAAGATAGATTTTTTATATTTTCCTAATTATGGTCTGTACTTCAAGGTGAAATTACAATAAAACAATTTGCAGCGTTTACGGGCCCTCTAAAAGTCACTTGAAAGTTCATAAAAATTTGATTTTTTTGGAAATGTAAACTTTTGGACGATCTATGACCTTTTTGCACTTACACTGGAAAAGTATTGAATAAATTTTACTATCCTGAATGATACTCTAGGCAACATGCTTTTATGCCTACTAATTAGTTTCAATGCATGAAATGTCATAATTTGTTGAGACTTCCTCAAATATGTCTAGATTCCATGATTTTAAAGCTCCTAATTTGACTACAAGTTCTATTTTTAGTAACATGCCTCTACATGTAACTCATGAACAAAGGCAACAATGAAAAAAAGGTGTGGCAAATTTAATAGTTAATACTATATTGCACACAAAAATTGCATTTTTATTAAAAATATTTATAAATACCACAAACTAAAACCTTTCCTTGCAAAACCATTATTTTAGCAAAATGTCCAAATATAGCATTATTCG